AAACCCAGGAAACAGGGAGTCAAGATTAATATACAAGTTGTTGAAATATTTAATTTTTCTATAAAGAACCCGACGATAGATGAACGCGTTCTTCTCCTGTCGTTAAAGGAATCGGGAAGAACAAAGACGCTGATACGCGACCGGGAAGGAAGGGTGAGTTCACTCACCATCACTAATTACTTTAGTCATCCCCCTTTAACCCTCGACGTCCCTCTTAAACCCACCCTCGTCATAAACTGTAGTGAAGGCTTGAACCTGAGTGAAACGGCACCTTGCCTTCTCTTCTCCCTGTCCCCTCGCTTCCTGTAGCCGTTCCTCAAAGTACAGACTACCCCTGGAAAAGCTTTATTATTATCATCCACCCGTACACCACAAGTCTTTAATTAAATCTCAGGAAAGATTCATAAAACCGGTATGATTACAAATACGATAAAGGACGAAACTTCATCTGGAAAGATCTCCCTCACGGTGCAATACGAGATTTCTTAGATTTTTCTTAGACCATACTTACTGTATAAGTTCAACTTCTACGGAAATTATTTTTAGTTTAGAAAGAAATTTGATAAATAAGCAGGGTTCCTTTTTATTTTTGTTTCTTTTTTTGTTATGTTATTTAAAGTAAAGATGAAAATCTTTCATCTGCTTGAAAGATGGAGAAAGGTGTGAAAGAATGATTGGAATGATTTTAACAAACGAACGAGTTGCCGCTAACTTCGAAGCAAATTTTCAATTACTTGTTGGCACTATTTCTAAACATTTTTTATTAAAGCGAAAAAGGTTAAAAAATTGATGGTTGAACGAGGAGGTAGAGATCAGAAAATTCGACATCTGGTGCTCGCAGCTGAGTATTATTAAGAGAAACAGAAGAGAGGAACTCCGGGGCGAAGAGAAAGCCATCATCGGACAATAATCACTTTTATGGGTGTTCGTGTGGTGAACCGTGATATTAGATAGCAGCCAAGTGCGCAGAACCACGCTCCTCAAATCGCACAACACTCAACATTACCCTCGAACAACTTGGAAATTGTTCCTCTCTTTTTTCCCCGTCTCGTTGCTACATCACGATAGAAACATTAACGCTCGCAACTTACTTCTTCCTTCCGAGAGTCCAATTAAAATTAATAAGACACTCGACATTGTCACAAGTTGCAGCCAAACATCTTTCAACATCTTCCTTTTTTTTATCACACATCTCAGAAAATTTTCTTACTCCGCTGATTTGTCTCAAAATTCTTAGTTCATTTCCTAGCGCGATTTCCTTTGTAAATTTGAACTCGAAGGGAAAGGAGTCACTATCAGGAAATCGGAGAAACGGACAAACGCATTCCTACGTCTTTTATACAAATGTGTAAAGTATGAGTTTGGCGCACACAAAATTGGCGCACTACTCCCGCTTAAGAAACTCCCGAGATTTCTCAAAAACCTCGCATTCAACGAATCACACCTTAATACCAACGAATCAACTTAAACTACGGAAAAATGTATGAAACTGACCCAACATTCAGCGTATTAATATAAACTAAAATAACGATCGAGATGATCTAACCTACCTCCGAACGATTTCTTCGATGAACAAAATTATCGAAGATTCTGCTGACGGATTACGTTTCACCCCGCTTAACCGTTTTATTACGACAGCTCGTGGAATCGCGTTCGATATGCGGCGAGCCTTAACTCGTAAAAGAAGAGAGGAAGAGAGTTTCTTGAACTCCCATGCTGGTACTACCAATTGTTCCAACCACCGGTAACCGAAGAAGAAGAAAAGGACGAATAGCGTGGAAAAAGCAGAAGGAAGGAGTGAGAGAGGAATCCTTTGTATGCGGATTGCGGATTCGCAAGAACCGTCAATTTACTCCAACTCCAAAGTACCCGTTGGTTCTTGCACACACGCGTATACGTGTGTATGTGTGTGTGTGCGTGGTCCTTAGGTTTTCTCGTAAAACCACGTCTAGAGTGGGCCTGAACCAATGGCGTTGGAGGCATGGCGCTCGAGGTGTGAATTATACATGAGAATATATCCTTCCGTACCCTTTACCTTCCTCCAACCCTCTCTGTCACGTCCTCTTTCTCCGATTCCCAGCCTCGTTCTCCCTCTATTCGTCCCTTTGCTAACCAATGGTTATCTCTTACCCTTATTTGCGCCTCATTTACATACGACCATATGCTCGTACCTATGCAAAATGTATCGTCGAATACGCGGCGAATACGAAGAGAACACTTTGAAGCATTTCGGTGTGAATTGTTATCGCGGTACATTTCTGGCAATACGTTGCTGTAGGATAGGTACGTTTAGCTGGAGCTTGTGATTTTAACCCTTTAAACGGTGTAGGTTAAAGATCGTGTATGTTTTTTTCGTAGTTAGAATTGTTGACAATCGTTAGGAAAAATTGACTTTGTTTATTCTTGTAGCTGATCGAGAGACGCTTTTGAGTAGAGAACTCTAATCAGTTTTCGAATTTCTCGGAGAACTCTGATATGATTAATTGGTCAAGGTGGATTGGAGAATCATCTGTTTGAACGATTTTATTATTCGATAAGATACGAGAGAGTTTAATTGGTGTACAGAAATGTCACGTTTGCAAGGAAACTGATAAGAATTTTTGAACAATCATCGAAACGATAAAGAATTGTCTGTTGACATAAGAGTAATCTTACCATTTATTCGTTCATTTATACAACAAATTTTCGTCACCTAAACCACACGTTACGTCCGTCGTTCTAAAAGTTCTTCTTCCAACATGAAACGAACGAACAATTTCCAAATCGTTACCTTGTCTCTTGTTCTGAAATAAACGAATTTACACGACGAAGAAATAACAATAATCGAATAAAACAGCATCGCGGCGCGGCGGCGGGAATAGAAATGGCGGCGTAACAGTGGGTCCTGTTAGGAAACAAAATTGGCGAAAACATCGCCGCACACATCCCATCGGGCGAATCGGCAAACTACGCTCATGAAATCAAATGAAACTAACTTACAGTGCCATTTTCTGGGCATCGTTTAGTTTCATTAGCGTCGCCACAGCGGAGCCAGCCTGCTAGCGACGCCGACGCTGGCGTCGGTGTGCCTGCACACCGTCGCCGTTAGTACGGGTATATACGTGTGCAGCTAATGAACTGGCATCGCCCGATTAACCCCAAACCGTGGGTATTATATGCTCCTAGCTCCATGTGCACCTACGCTCTTTCTCCTATGTATATCCCACCCTCGATGCGACGCGATGATATCTCGCGTGATCACCTCCGTCCGTGATCGTCGCTCGACGCTTTAAACTTTGCATTTAACCGTTGTTTAACCATTTTCCTTGCAACACCGAATCGAACTCGTAGCACGTAGCAAAATTAATTTTAACTTCATTTCTGATTTTAACCCTTTCGTTGCTTTTTAAAAATTTCCTAGCACTGTACGGTTGTGCAGTCCTTTTGGCCCTTCACGCACTTCCACCTTAATTTAGTTCAACCGAATTTGAAAACGACGCAACAAATTTTACAGTCGTGTTAAAACATTTACGACGAACTTTATTTAGTAAATAGGAAAATGGGTAGTTGGCTCTTTCGTTGAATAACGATGAATGTGTACAAGTGGAAGTTAGTTGAAGAAAGATGGAGAAAACCTGTGCTTTTAATTTCACTGCTACAATTTCATCAGAGTTTCCTGATGGATAAGTTAGTAAAGTTACATCTTCTGTACTGTTAGTACTGTTACATCTTCGTGCAAAATAAAGAAGTGTTTAATAATCCCTGTAATAAGGGAATTAAACGGAATCGATAAAGAAGAACGAGCGTGTTTCTTCAGCCAGGAACTCGTTACTTTCTCGAGAATCGCCGTTCCGATGCTTGTACCGCGGCGACGCTATAAACGTGGTACGATTGTTCGAATCACTTTCTGATTACTTTCCCGCTAATCACTAGGAAAACTGTCTAATAACAGGTAACAATTAAACTCGAAACGTTTGCAAAGATTTCGAATAGCCGTGTCAAATTATTGGTACATTTGAACGAGATACTTAAACTGGGGGTAGCCATTTTGCATTTAGTCTCGATCCTTCAGTTTCATCTAACCTACATTTCCATCGATGCTATTCGAATTATACGTAAGACGAATGATATGTATATCAGGCATGTTTGCAGTTATATACGTTGATATAATCAGCACGTGAGAGTTGGTTCGACAAAACCTGAGCATTAGTCTCTATCAATTCGTTGAATGGAGTCGCGTGAAAGCGAGAGAGAGAGAGCGAGAAAAGGGAGAGCAGCAGCAGCTCCGTCGCTGAATTAAATGTTCCGTTGGGAACAGAGGGGTTTCGTACTTCGTTAAAGCGACAATTAGTGCCCTAATAAGGTCATTAAGCACCATATATCCTGTGGCAGCCTTCCTTCCTTCCTTCCTCGTACGGATTAATTCCTCGATTATGCGCCTGGCTATTATCGCGAATCGAGTAACATCGTTCAACGCGTTAATTAAATATAATCGTGAAAAAGCTGAGTTACAGACGCTATCTAACGCTTATCTTCATTTTGAAATCAATGTATTTTAACAGATTTTAAGTTTTGTCGAAAAAAGAAACATTTTCTTTTCAATTTTATCAAGTTTCCAAACGAGTACATTTGTATATTTCAATAAATTAGCTTTCTACGTATGTGTTGAAGGCGATTAGCAAAGAAGCGCACGGCTCGTTAGCCGTATCGGTGAATTAGTACGTTATTAAGATCATTAAACGCGATATTAAGCATCACGTTGCTCGTTCATGCGGCGCACGAAGGCAACCGCTTGATCGTGACAAGCTTATGCACATTATAATACAGGCAAGTATACCTGAATATGGCATATTCGATGCCATTATCTCATACAATCATTATACAACGTCGCGACGTTGTTCGATCTTCGCTCAATTCTTCACGCTTTTCTCATTAACGTTGCGATAGGTACGCTACTTTTCTCGAATACGTTTCTCATTTATCGTTCGAAAATAAGGGAAGAATTTTGTGCAGTTTCTTACCTGAGAATCCTTCAGGCCGAGTTTCTCGGCCAATTTTTTACGATCCGGCTTGCTGATGTACTTTTGTATCTGAAACCTCTTCTCAAGGCCACGCCTTTGAAGGTCCGAGAAAACTGCCCTTCTCATCATTCCACGACGAGGTTTTCCGCGGGCGTTCGTCGCCCATGGAAATACCAGTCCGGTGCTCGTGAAATCGCCCAAACCGCCTTGAATCGCACCTGGAAACGCAGTTCCGCCACCTGGAGCACCCGGATGATGACCTCCAGTTCCGGAACCGGCAACTAACCATTACACATGTTTCACGTTGAAAAGCTTTGCACTGTAAGAGCGTTACACGCATTTAAAATTCTCACCAAAGTGAAGATAATAAGTCGAATCATTATTTGCTTAAATTTCGATCGAGATAAATTTCGAACGCGATAAAAATGTGTAGAACTTCCAAAGCTGACTTTTTTTTTTCGCTAAAAAGTTCTACATTTCTATTTGAAACACTTTAACCCTTTCGTGATCGGTTGGACTCGAAGAAACGAGTAGAAAAATTGATCTTAACTTAGTATATCCGTTACAGAGATCGGTAGATAGATAAGGAAATTCAATCACGAAAGGGTTAATATAAAGTAATATTTCACACAGAAGTTTCTATCTTTTTTCCTATATCGCGAGAAGATTAGACGGTAAAGAACGAGTGTATGGAAGAAGTTAAAGTTAGATCCTTGTTCGTTTCGCTTTGACATTACGAAAGCCACTTTATCAGCGTGCAGAAAATATGCATGCCAATAGGGAAAATTTATTGCTCGTTCATCAAAGGCCCGGGGCCGATAGTAATTGAATCAAAGTCATCTAATAACGAACGGGCAATTGAATCTCCAGATCGTATCTGTACAATATTGCCAAGCTGAGCATGACAGTATTATCTGCGCCGATGATATTTGCACGCACTTGTTGCATGCGTGCATTTTGCTTGTGGCGGTGCATGTACATAATATGGTAGTGCTTTCACTGCACTTCATATGCACTCCATGTCCCATACGAGCCTACCTATAACAAGATATTCGATAAACCCGTGCCCGTGCACGTGCCCGCGTTTATACGCTTTGGCGCCATGTGCGGAAGTTTCGGTTTTAAATGTTCATCGAGACCGTGTTTCCGCCTCGCGTCCAGCTTGTTTATTAACTTTTCCACCGAGCGCCGGAGACGAAATATATATGATGGCGAATTTTTCGGGAAAAATTTCACACATTTTTTTCTTTCGCGCGAGCATTCGCGGTAAATTAATTGCGAATTAAACGCGCGACGATCGGATCGGAAGTTGAGAAATGACTGTTTAGTTATCGAAATATGCGAAAACTTAATTTTTACATCTTACGATATTTTTATTTCGATATATCGAAGTCTTGTTAATTAACGAAGAGAAATTTTTGTCTTTTCGTTAGTTTTCAATTGTTCTCTCTTGAAATGGAAGAACTTTCAGTGGAAAAGGTCGACGATTGACGAAAGATTTTCGACGAAAAGATTTCCAACTCGAGCATAAATTAAAGATACGTGTTTCAACTGCGTTTGAGTAATTCCGAGAAAGAGAACAGCTCACCTGTTAGATAAGGTCCTCTGTAGAACAATTGTTGCAACGTGTGGTGCGCATTCGGGGGTAAATGACGCTGAGGCGGCTGATGACTCGGCCTGTGATACGGATGATAAGCCGCCGGTCTGGCGATAGGTTTCGCTATATTGTAGCTTGCAGAATTCTGTAAATTTTGCAGAAAAGCTGGTATTGCTTCTGGTGGGAGTCCTTGAAAATTCTCTGAAAAAAGAAGACACAATTTCACCGGTCAGTCATCAGCTCGCTAAAGGGAAATATCATAGAGGAACGTGATTACTAAAAACGACAGTAAATTATTAAACTACAGAAATTTCTCGAATTCGAGACATAGGGGGAAATAGGAACGTGTTTTTTACGGACGAATTCACCCTGAAACGCCCAAGGTTCCGGATTTTCGCACGACAGAGTGCTCAAGTCGTTGTATTCCTTGCGATGCATAATTCGAGCTGACACCCCCGACTAAACCCTCCTCAACAGCTCCAGGCGAAGCCCAAACCTCTTGTTGACGCACGCTTCAACACCTCCAGAGTAAATACACGGATATTTGGTATACGTGAGAACGACTGGGATATATTTAACCTAACGCAGATTAAAACCCTCAGAAAAGATGGATTTTCATCGTACCATTTTCCAAAAACAGCCATTTTTCATCGTTAGAAGAAAGACAGATCAAACATCTTCCACCCGTAAACATAAACAACCAACCAACAGAGACCGCATTTTATCAAAAGAGAAAAAAAAGTGTATACACCTCAGACAATCATTTACACGTACCCAAAGAGGGTTTGCGGTTCCTGGTACTTTCGACATATTTTTTCTAAGTCACTTCGCCACGCCCAATTTACCCAAACGAGAGAGGAAAAAAAATGGGGTGAAGAAAAAATAGAGAGAGAGAGAGAATAGAGGAGGTGACGTGTTTGAAAATAATAAAATAATAGAGCCAGGGTCGTACGTTTTACAGCAGCGACCAAGAAGCCAGAATCGAACGGAGAAAGAGAGGTTTGCCTTGCGTTCCAGTCAGACAATGCTTTAACAATGGCCCATACACGACGTCCTATTGTGCCTGTGTACCCCATAAAATACTCATCGCCTTTTATCGTTGTTTTCGTAGCCAGCCAATAAGAGGAGCCAGCCTGCCGGGATCGCAAACCCTGGCCGACTAATAACGGCTTAACCTCCAACGGAAACATTGAATGGGAATCGTTTTTTAAGCTGCTCCACCTCCTTGGAAAACCTCCCTTCGCGAATCCATCTCCTCTACACCCTTATATGCATGTATCTCTCTCTCCCTCTCTCTTTTCATCTAACATTTTCTTTTTTTTTCCGAATCGAAGAGATTAAACCTCGAAGCCTGTCGAGGATATCCAGAACAGCTCTCGCGTGTTGTTACAGTTGTAGAGCGGTGGTTTTTTTTCTTTTCTCTTCTTTTAAATGGCCTGGCTTAAAGAGAGCCCTCTCCCTTTCGCCTACCCCCCTTCGATACGACTCGAGAACCAAGCTACAACATATCGGTGGTTATTCTTTGGGATTAGGGCATTTGATGCATTATTAAGTAGACACCGCTGCAGGTTTCCCCGGTGAATAGGGAGGTTCGGCGATTTATGCACGGCAGGAAACGGCGCGCATAGGAACCACGGTCCCGTAATAACGGAGGGATAATGTTTGTCTTAGCGGATGGTTAGCGAGCCTGACGTTCCCGTGCTACGTTTACTATGTGTAACGTGGCTAACTCGATCGAGAGTTTTAAGACGTGACGAGATTCGAAGAAGAGGACATCGAAGAAGTTCAGAAAGTTTTCGGAGACATTCTAAAATTTCTCGTGAAAGAACAAACTCCTGGTTGCCTTGAATTGAAAAGCGTAACACTGTACCTACTCCGTTAGAATTCTTCAAATTACGAAACACGCATTTTTACAATGGAAAAAACAAAAATTCTTAACAACGTTCCGTTAATTATTCCCGAACATCCGCGCAGGAGGTAAAGGGATTAAAAGGAAAGCAAAAAAAAAAAAGAAGAAAGCAAAATAATCGAACGGCGCGAGGTAGGAGTACATACACGCATTTCGCCATCCGTCTACACGAGTCCCGCTCTCGTCGTGTCAGGCTCGATATCGAAAAATATCAATAATAGCGACAAACAACAACGAGAAGCAGGCGGCAACGGGGGTGGAGAGCGGGGAACGAATAAAAGCGTGGCTCCACGATGAAACAGAGAGAGAGGGAGAGAGTGAACCACACACCACCATAGGAAGCGTGCGCGAGGGAAAAACAGAGAAATATGGAGAGCGTGGAGAACAGAGCGAAAGAGTGCGAGAATACCTGGTAAATCGCACAACGATTGGCGAAAATGCTATTCGAAATTTAACGTCGCTCTCCCGTCAAACGCCCATCCACTCCAGACCAAACCTCCCCTTCCGCCTACCTCTCCCTCATACACCACCCCCGCACACCAACCCTCAACTCGACGAGTTGCCGGGGCATTCGTTCACGTCCGTCGATGAATTTCGAGTTTGTTGCCAATCACTTTTTCGCGCAATTATTTCACAACATTTCGACATGACGTACAAACCGAGCGGAGCACAAGCGATAGTGTACCACCGGTCACAGGGGGGAGATGAAGGTGGGCGGCGGGAGGCGGCTGAGGGGGTGACGTTGGGATGGGTTGTACCTAGAGGGTGGGTGGTGGTGGTGGATGGATACCCGGATTGGGAAGAGGGGAGCGGCAAGTTAGGGGGTGGTGAGGAAGGGATGTAACACATGCACGTGGCACGGTCAATGCATCCGCTATCCGACAAATGCATGAAACCCCACCCCGTATTTCGAGCGCACCAAATTTCCCCGACTAACTCTTCCCTCTGTCTATCTTTAACTCTCTCTCTCCCTCTGTTGGACGTATCCGTCGTCTTTCTCTGTCTTTCTCTGTCGCTGTTTCTCTTGTACGCGCGCGGCGCATGCATGCAATCCGCCAATGTTAAATGCAACATTTGCCTCCCCACCCTCTGTGGATCTACCTTCGTCCCCCTGATGAACCATCTAGCGTCTCTCTTTCACGATGTATCTCGTTCCCTCT